GGGGGGGGGGGGGGTGAAAATGTCACCATTCAAATCTTCAAAATGTGCTTTCCTTCTCTTTTTGGGTGAAATATGGCCCAGACCTGTTTTCATGAGGGATTCGCCCCTTTGAACAAGACACACCCATTTGATTGAGACACGCCCCCTTAAAGTGACAGGCTGTTTTAAAAACAAGGGTCATGTATGTTGATATTCACAGGTGTGTCTGTACATTTGATAGAATCGTGCACCTTCACCTGTTTACTGATCTGTCACATAAACACACACACATTCACAGTCACTTCCAAACCTCATTTACACAAACACAAACACACACACACACACACACTTCCCTGTCTGATGGAGTGTTAAAATGACACGTTCGAATGACAACACCCCTGAATAACCTTCCTTAATGAGACACACTTAATAATATAATCAATAATTTTTTTCTTCATTTTCCTATTGCACTTTAGCATTTCTGTTTTTTACATGTGACAAAATTACCATAAAAAAGATCAGTTAAACAATAAGTGTATATGTACATATTATACTTCCCAATGATCTTAATTCATCTCTTCAATAAACTGTTGATTCTTATTATAAAAGTACAAGTATTATAATAACATTATTATTATTATTATTAATTTGAAAGAAAGCAAGCACCAAAAAAACAGGCTGAGATAGAAAGAGAAGAGGAAAGACAGAGGGTTTGGCAGTTTCTCCGGCCCGGATGTCCTGAGTGTTCCTCCCTGCGAGATGATTGGCTTGTTTTCTAGAGGAGTCAAATCTGATTGGACATCCGTGGCTGGTAAAGGCGGGATTTCCTTTAGACTGTAGGAGTCTCTAGTGCTAAATCCCCCAAAGCCCCGCCCACACCACCTCTCTCTGTTTCTGCAGTCCAATCAGTGGCTGAATGCTGAAGGGGGCAGGCTGTGGGCGGGGCCGGTGTGTGTTTGACGAGTGCACACACACACTCACAATCTCACACACACACTAAAGGAAGCACACAGGTCCGACTTCTACGTGAAAGCGCGATGAGGCCGTTGTCTTTGGTAGGTTGCTTATGCGTACGACAGGAAGTAAGGTGGGGTCCGACACCCGGAACAGGAAGTCAGCATGTTGCCAGCGCCCGTTTAGTTGCTGTGTAATACAAAGCACATGATCAGTGATGTCATGCATAAATACATTTCAGAAATAATTTATGACTAAACCAGTGTTGTTATTGTTAACTACAACCAAAACTATTAAAAATGGTTCTTGTTAATGGAAATAAGGCTGAAATCAAATAAAATATAAATATTACATGAAAAATTTTAAATGTTGCCTTGGCAACAAACAGAAATTAATGTTTATGTTGAAGTATTAAAATTACTAAAACCGAAATAACAATAAAAATGAATTAAAGTGAAACAGAAATGTAAAAAGAATAAATATAACAAAATCCAATAACAAAATTACTAAAACTTTTAAAAATGAAAACAGAAAATATAAAAATAAAAGCTCATTCAAAATATGATGAAATACCATAATATTATATAAGTAATACTATAATAATACTGCACTAAACCAGTACAGCCTTTTTAAATTATTTTGGGTAAAATAAATTATGCAAGCAATATATTTAGCTGAGATGTATTTTTTTTATCAAGAACCCTAAAAATGACCTGCAAGTCACACTGTGTGCAACAAAACTTTTTTTTGTTTTCAAAAGCAGAGGTTTCCTGCTAACAATGCCATTCTTATGGAGGAAAGAATTACTGAAAGCACCTAATAATCATGTTTTTAAAAATGCATTACTAAAATTGATTTACATTCATACACATATATTTAAATGTATAATTTATTTATATTTGGATAATCAGGCAAATAAAAGTAACTTCGTATAATGTCTTTTTTTTTTTTGATCTTGTTGGATGCAGATCAAAAGATCAGATTATTCATGATTATTTATAACATAACAGTCTATATTTTTTAAATATAATTATTATTGTTATATTTGTGATTTTCATTCCTTGTTCCATATGTTCAAGTCTGTACATTTGCATTTGTTCTTTAAGTATGCTTTTCTACGATACTTTGGCAATAAAAAAATAATAACAATTTATAAAAAAAAATAATAATAATTATAATATTTTATAAATAATAATACTATTTTATAATATTTTATTAAAAAAAGGAGAATAATGAAATAAATACATAATATAAAAAATATATAATTCATGAATATCAAAATCCTGCATTTTACATAAATAATAAAACTCTGATATGCTACTCAGACTCAATTTAACATGCACCTTGACAGAAAAAGTTATGTTTTGGAGACAAGATTTTTTCTTGCACATGTTGCAAAGGGTGCTGTGGGTGTTTTGAAGTCTGGTTAGTTAGAGAGAGATTTTTGAAAGTAATACTCACCCAGCAGTTGTCTCCTAACACATCCGGCTCCAGCGTCTCTCCGGTCCACGCCTGGAACCGAACTGCATTCTGGGACGGAGGCTCAGAGGGGGCGTGGCTCCAGATTGTCACATTCAAGCAGTGGATAGTGATTTGTTGCTCCGCTCCGGCGCTCAGCAGCTGCAGGAAGTTCATCTGAACGCGTCCGACACTGAACTCCAGCTGCAACCAGCCAATGAAGTAGCACGATTATAAACAGATTAGGAACTTCTTTTCTAAACATATCACCTCAAGCCACGAGGATATGCATTTATCAAATACAGAATAACGCAGATGATCTGAAAGCTGAACCTTGGCTGTTGTGATAGGCCTGAGGCAGGTGCGTCCGCCGCCGGTGAAATTGCACGTCACTTCTATAGAGTCTGAGGAGCAGCCCAGGTTTGGGTCGATCCAATAAGTGCCTGACAAATGACAAAACACATTGTAGCAAAAACATAACTTGCAATTTGAAATGGTGAAATGTGAAAATGCTAAATTATTACATCTATCTACAGATGCCATTGGTGGGATTTAGCACTACAAAGAAACTCAACACACACGCACCATCGTAGCGCGTGTCCCGGCAGCCTTGCAGGTCTTTGCAGAGTCGAGCGGGGTGATCTCGTGTGCCCAGTGGGTTCTTCAGGCTGTGGACCAGAGAGCTCAGGTATTGGAGAGTCCGCAGGATCTCTGGAGCCTGATCCAACATGGGCATGTCCATCAGACCCCGACCCTGAGAGAGCATTGAGACGGCCTTTAAAACACCCTTTACACCGCTAACCACAGGACGTGGTAACCAAAGGTGTGAACAAACCTTCTTCTAGTAATGTTAATAGAATGTTCATTCAGATGTATCTAGGCTTTTCTAATGTTCCCAAAACATTAGTACGAAAACATTATTTATACATAACGTGTGTCTGAATGATCTCACCTCTATTTTCTGTGTGTGCGTCTCCATAAAAACTGGCTGGGCCAATCCAAGACCAAAATCCTGTTTCTACAACATACATGCACATGAGCAAACTATTAAAAACACAGATGTACGGAATATAACACTGAAAGTGTGAATGAATTAATAAAAAAAAGAATCAACAAATAAATAAATAAACAACTACATAAATAAATAAAGTTAGTGAAAATTCTCACCAAAGCCAGTGGGATTCGCGGCAGACCCTGTAGAGAAAGAAATAATAAAACAATTGCTCATAACCATCATGATGAATTCTACTGACATTTTTTTTAAACAAAGTAGAGATAAGTGTGTATGTGTGTGTGGGGTTAGTATGGTTTAGGAACAATATGTGTGTTTCTGAGAGAGTCTATTAAAAGAAAGAAGTGTGTGTTTATACCGGAGGTCCAGGACGTCCACGCGGTCCAGGAGCACCCTGGAAAAACACACAAATAAACAAGTTAGAAACAAACAAGTGGCCTTAAAATAAACCCAAGCAGCTGATGATGGGAAATGCTGTGTCTGTGACTGTAGACTCACTCGAGGTCCCTGAACACCCTGTAAGAAAAAAAGAATGTGCTTATGAGAAACCTGTAAGATTTCCAGTGACATCAAGATCTGAAGAGAAAGAATAAATCATGTCTCACCATCCCTCCTTTGCTGCCAGTGTCTCCTCTCGGGCCCTACAGAGACGTCAGTGTGAGAGCAGAGGTCAGCTGAGGGTCAGACAGCAGGTATGAACACACTCACTGTTCACTATAGCTGTGTGAAGAAGTGACTTATACTCACTGGACTACCGATAGGGCCAATCACACCGACAGGTCCAGCTAAACCCCCTCTACCCTGAAACCAACATGGAAATATTACAACAAAAACACTATAAAATCTGCCAAAATTGGCAGACTAGTTCTTTGTACATACTTATTTATGTATGATAGATAGATAGATAGATAGATAGATAGATGGTGTAGGGCGATAGAATATATGGTTTGTACAGTATAAAAACCATTATGCCTATGGAGAGTCTTTACAAGGATAGCAAACCAGACGTGTGTGTGTGTGTGTGAGAGAGAGTGTGCATATGTGTGTGTGTGTGAGGGAGAGAGAGTGCATTTGTGTGTGTGTGTGTGTGTGTGTGAGAGAGTGTGCATATGTGTGTGTGTGTGTGTGTGTGAGAGAGAGTGTGCATATGGTGTGTGTGTGAGAGAGTGTGCATATGTGTGTGTGTGTGTGAGAGTGTGCATATGTGTGTGTGTGTGTGTGTGTGAGAGAGAGAGTGTGCATATGGTGTGTGTGTGAGAGAGTGTGCATATGTGTGTGTGTGTGAGAGTGTGCATATGTGTGTGTGTGTGTGAGAGAGAGTGCATATGTGTGTGTGTGTGTGTGAGCGTGTGCATGTGTGTGTGTGAGAGAGAGAGTGCGCATATGTGTGTGTGAGAGAGAGTGTGCATATGTGTGTGTGTGTGTGTGAGAGAGAGAGTGTGTATATGTGTGTGTGTGTGTGAGAGAGAGTGTGTGCATATGTGTGTGTGTGTGTGTGTGTGTGTGTGTGAGAGAGAGAGAGAGAGTGTGTGCATGTGTGTGTGCTCACCATGCTGCCCTGCGGCCCTTTGGGCCCCTGAATGCCCTTCAGTCCAAAGTCTCCTGGAGGCCCCTGAATAAACAAGCAAGCATCAAGCTCACATGAACAAACACACAGCTGTGCCTAACCCAACATTAATGCTAATGTGTGTGTATTATGAGGAGCACTAGAGCGTTTATGGAGTGGAACATTATTAAACGTGTCTATTTATCACCGTCAGGACCACAGTGTTTGTGTGGCTACCATTGGTGGTCCCCATTTTTTCCGTAGCTCTACTTCATCGAGTTAGACCAGAGGAATGAATGAGTCTGAATGAATCAACCACACACGCTTGTCCTGTTTTATGAGCTCACGGCTGTGGGTTTCAGAGAAAATCCTGCTCCGTGACAAAAACACACATCAGTCTGAGCGTGAATTATGATGCTTTTTGAGCGTGTGGATGAAAACACGCTTCCCAGAGGAAGGAACTCTTTCGGAAAGGATAAATCTCATCTCTGTTGGTTTCTCTTGGGCAGGTGCACATGGACGATCACATTTCTGTTTTTCACCTTGAAGAACTGTTTAAATGGGATACCTGGCGATGGGTGATAAAACTCACCTTCGGTCCAAACATTCCCAGCATCCCTGGAAAGCCGGGTTCCCCGATGTCACCCTAAATCAAAGATTACTATTAATGTTTTGTTCTAAGATGAACTCTGGGTCTTTGTAAGCAGGATACAGTCAGTAGGAGAATTCACAGTGAATAATAACAATATTTATGGCATGTTTCAGTGTATTTTTGTCTGGGAGTAGCACTCACAGGTTGGCCTTTAGGACCCCGGTCGCCCTGAGATCCAGGAAGGCCCATTCCTCCTTTAAAACCTCTCTTTCCTGAAGGGCCGGTGTGACCAGGAAGGCCCCTCTCACCCTATTCATTCACAAATTTAACAAATACATACATCAAAATGATCCATTCGAGATACATCATAATACATGTAATATAATATACAATAAATAATTTTTGTATTTTTTCTATGACCTTAATTATAAATTAAAATAAAATAAATATTTTCTTGTTTATCCAAGGATCTTAATGATGAATAAATAAGTAAATATGTTACAATTGTGGTCAAATTTTATTCCCTGAGCTTTTGACCATTTTTAAAAAATATTTATTTATTTACTTATTAATTTATTTGCATTTTGTCTAGGATGTTAATGATCAATCAATCAATCAATCAATCATTATGTGATAACTGTGGTAAAAAATAAATTCTCTGACCTTTGGACCATTTATTTTATTATTATTATTTTGGCTTTTATATATATATATATATATATATATGTGTGTGTGTGTGTGTGTGTGTAAAGTTTTTTTTTGATAACTGTAGTCAAATTTTCTTCAATTAAATTATTTTTGTATTTTTTCTACGATGTTAATAAACAAATAAACAAAACAAACAAATAAATAAATAAGTAAGTGATAATCGTGGTAGAATTTTATTCTCTGACCTTTGGACCAAATGATCCCTGTGGGCCTGGTAAACCGATAACGCCAACTTTGCCAGGTGCACCGGGTTTACCAGGCAAACCAAACTCGCCATCATCTCCCTGATCGCCCTAAAAGAAAGAGAAAGATGCATGTAATGAACTTGCTAAGACAGATCATAGATCAGGAATCACAGATCTGATGATGAATTCTTACTGGTATTCCTCTGCTTCCATCTTTCCCTGGGATCCCATCCATGCCAGGAACGCCCTCCTGTCCTTCTCGGCCCACTGTGCCTCTTGGGCCGGGTAACCCAACAACACTCTGATGAGAGAAAATACAGAGATAACGGGGCATTTAGTAAGTTATTAAGGAAGAAAGGGAAAATGTTTATGCAAATGTACTAGTTATGAAGAATATTTCTGGTTGAATTTCACAAAAAAAGGTCATATTTGGGGTCATTATTATATAAAAAATTAAGTATTATATAATTAATATGTAAATAATATAGAAATAATTATATAAGTAATATGTAAATAATATACAAATATTTTTTAAAAATAATATATATGAAAGTAATCTATATATATATATATATATATATATATATAAAAAACTAAAAAACTATAGAGCATAAAGCATATAAACAAACAAACATTATTTATTATTATTATTATATTGCATTAAGATATTTCCCTCATCCTTTTCAATACTGTAATAGTAGATTACTAGATTTAAAGTATCTCATTTTAAAGTACAATTATAAGAATACATCACAGTATTGTTTTGCATATAGCATGCCTTTTTAGTACTGATTTTCTGATTTTAATAAAACAAAATGATTAATGATGAGAATACATTTCTTTATGTATTACAGTAATGAAAAAAAAAAATTCTTAATTTGAATGCAGCATTGTTATTTACATTTAAATATTTTTTTCATTTGGCAGATGCTTTTATCCAAAGTAACACTGTCTACTCAAGTAATTTTATCTGCGTCTGTTTGCTGCTTGGGAACTAAAACCATGACTTTGGCAGTGATAATTTCTTTGAAATCTGAGTTTATATTAGCCCCGTATTTCTTACTACTACTAAAATGAAAGTGTTGTGTCCTCTTACCGGTGAGCCTCTGCTGCCACGCTCTCCCTGCTGACCCTGTTTACCCTTCTGACCCTTTGAGACAGAGAGAAAGTGACAGAGAATAACAAAGCATGTGAGAAAAATAAGGAATGCCAAGATGAAAACCACAGGCACAGAAGTAATCGTATACAGCATAAACATACACATACATCTAACCCATTTTGCTGAAGTATGTGACAAGACTCTGATTTCTACCACATGTTGTTTACGGCTGCCATTCCAAAACATAAGTAATGAAATCTGAAAGCTTGCAAAAGATACACACACATGAGCTGCAATCATAGCGTTACCTGTTCTCCTTTGGATCCTTTAGGGCCTTGTATCCCACGTGGACCAGGATCACCCTAAAAATGCATTAAAAGAATTAAGCAAAAAGGTGTTTGTGTGCGTATTTGAGTGAAGGTATGTCTGTAATCATGATCTGATAATCATATTATTATACGCACAGGTAGTCCAGAAGCACCAGGTTTGCCTCGAAAGCCATCAACACCTTGCTGACCCTGCACATACAAACCAGTGTTATTATAATTAACTAAAACCATTCAAAACATTTTCATTATATGAAATAAAATAAACATGAACTGAAATTCATATAAAATACAAAAAAACTATTTATTTCAAAACTTTACAAAAACAAAAATGTATTTATGATTTATTACATTTCTCATTTTAATTTAGTTTAACTTGATGTATTAAAATAACTGAAAATTAATAAAAAACTATAATAGTATTGCAACGATATATATATATATATGCAATATATAAATATAAAACGAAAACTAAAAAAATACTAAATTAATAATGTATATATTTTATTTATTAACTATTAATAATAACTCAAATAAAAAAAAAAATTTCTGAAGAAAATCTGAAAAGTGTTGTTTGTTCATGCAAATCTCACCATTCGATCTGTATAAACTCCTAAAGAATGAGCAATATTTATGACAATAGTGATGCTTTCCTTAGCAAACACTGCTAATAATATTGTACATAGTCTCAATCAAAAGTTCTATAATCTAATTAAAACACATACATCTCCACTCAAAGCATATTTTCGCTGGCGGATATTTTAGTCTAAAAAGAACCTAAATCAAAATCATCTTGAAATGGTTTTAATCTTAATGTGATCTATAACATATTTTTTATGTTAAGCCAATTACCATATAAAACAGCCTTTCAGTTGGCAGCTGTTAATCTATTATAGGAAATGGTCACATGTTGGTGTGCGCCTACAGCACGTAAACAAATGAGCTAATGCGCTTCATATGCAGTAAGACAACAGTATGCTTTCTTATCTCACCGCGTATCCTGGATCTCCCGGCTCGCCCCTGTCTCCTCGCTTTCCAACTGGACCCTGAAAATACACAAACACATGCATGAAGCTGCAAATATCGCTAATGAAATTAGAGGAATTCACAGACAGATTTAAACATGATAATAAGAGAGACTCACTTGGAGTCCTGGAGGACCAGTAGGACCTTCCACCTTCCCATCATCCCCCTGTTCACCCTAGAATATTACATAATGCAAACATCAGATGATTATAGAAAACTGAGTGAAAGCAGTTTGTGTGCCTATATTAGTGTGCCTAATACTAAAAAATATGATAATATTATGATGCTGTTTCATTGTTATATTCATTTAACGTGGCATTTAAATTCACTGTGAGGTAATCTCATTGTATTTTAAAGCTAAGCTTTGTGTATTCTAGGTCTACTTCTAGCATAGATTCACCCATGAAGGTTGCCATAATTGTGCAGGTCACATATATGAACATTTATGAACAAAATGAGTCATAAATACATTTGACCTTTTCACCCTTTGGTCCCGGGGGTCCTACTGGACCTTGAGGTCCCTTGTGACCCTGTAGAGAAAGAAAGAGCTTTCAAGCACTAGCGGACTTGAGCTGATAAATCAGTGCACTGATGTGGAAATGAACAATTGTTAATGTGCTAATATGATCGTGTGATGCTATTTGCACTTGTTTCTTGCTCTCACCTCATATCCTGATATGCCCGGATCCCCCTGCATCCCCATACGCCCGGGAGCACCCTGAGAAAGTCAAAGTCAATGTAAACTTTATTGTAATTTTTAGCACATCGCATGGAAACAACAGTGGCATACAGATGAGAAAGAAGGTGAAACAGACAGGCTTCTTGTGCAGGTCAAAAGATGGATATATTACTAAAACTAACTTAACTTAAGATGATTATGTATCTGTTTACCACATGTCCGATGGTTCCTCGAGAGCCCTTTGGTCCGGTGGTTCCAATTGGTCCGATCTTTCCCATGGCTCCTGTCTCTCCCAGGTGGCCGATGTTACCTTTGGCACCCTGCAGGCAATGGGAAAGTGCAGTCAATATGGCTACTGTGCACAATGGATTAAAGAGAATTAAATAACTTGCTATCTTAAACTCGAATGTCTTACCTTAAACCCTGGCTTCCCTCTCTCGCCATTTTTGCCAGGTTTTCCTTCAGGACCCTAAAACACACATGCAAAAATGAGGGGACACAAAAAAAACAATCCCCACCATAATTTCGCAAAAAATTATATATTATTATTAAAATAACTAAAACTATTAAAATAGTTCATGTTAATTGAAATAAAGTTTAAGTAAAATATTATATAATATGATATAATAAAAAAAGTAGAAAACTAGAAAATTAAAACTCCTGCCTTGGAAACTAACTGAAACTAAGTAAGTTGAGGTTACTTGAATTACTAAAACTAAAATAAAAACAAATTAAAGTGAAGTAGATATAAAAAAATAATAATAATAAATAACAAAAATGACAAAAGTATATAAAAATGACAAACTACTAAAATGTAAGCTTAATCCAAATTAAAAATCAAAATTAAAATATAAATATTAAATAAACAGGCTAAAATTTAAAAATTATAATTATAAATGATAAAGTCTAAAATGAAAAATTAAAATGTGAAAAAATTTAAATATATATAAAAGCAAATTCAAAATATTATATTAACAAATACTATTATAAATAATACTAAAATAACAGCTTTTTTCCCATTCACTAACTTTTCTGAGGGGTCAAAGTTCTGTAGGTCATTTTTAGGCATAATTGTTGAGATTTGTCTCATTTTTCAAGTTTTTTCAAGTGTTTTTTGTGATAGATGACATATGTAGTATGCAAAAAAATTATAATCCAAAGCGCATGAATGGTCCACTGTTACAAAGGTTAACTACCAGATTTATAATATATATATATATATATATATATATATATACACACATATATTATGTAAACAAACTTTTATTTTGGATGCGATTAATCGTTTGACAGCACTATTGTATTAACATTATTATAAGAGATGAACCATTAATTCAAAGTTTTCAATTTTTTTTTGTAATAAAAAAAACAACTGTTACAAATTGTATAGAGTTTGTACTCCCAAATTATACTCAATCTGATTAAATATATTAGTGCTGAGCATAACTATATGCTTAGGACTAATCAGAAATCATTCTAATATGCTGATTTGCTGCTTAAGAAACATTTACTATCATTATCAATGTTGTAAACATTTTTACTGCTTATTATTTTTGTGTAAACCCTGATATGCTATCATTTAAAAGTTTGGAAAATTACTAACAGCCTTACTGAAATTTTATTAAATTAAACTGAATTGCTCAACAAGAACGAATGCTCCATCAAATATACTAAAATATAAAAATAAAAGCTAATTCACATTATTAATAAATACTATAGTATATAAATAATACTAAAATAGCACTGAGTGTTAATGTATATAAATAACATATAACATGTAAAGATAATAAAAACTACTATAGAAAATACTCACTGAATCATTATATTACTTACATGGCTATTTATTAAAACAATAAATTATCATTTTAAAATATTTGAGCATAATCTAAATAATATTCATGATCTAAGCCATCTTGTGACATCCCAACCAGCATGTTTGACCCCCCCCCCCTGTACTGCAAAAATGATTAGTATGGCAGAATGCAAACACACACTTTAAATCCGGAAGTATATTCTCAAACTCTAGGGGGAGCTGTACTGTAGATTTTGGATGTGTGGGATATGTTGGGATATTTGGAGTTGTGCATGTAGGTCAATGTTTAAGAGGCTCTTGAGGGTCTAAGCGTGACACAGAACTATGTTGCATCTGTCTTTGTCTAGATTCACACAAAAAATCTCTTACACATTAAAGGAACACTCCACTAGTTTTGAAAATAGGCTCATTTTCCAACTCCTCTAGAGTTAAACAGTTGAGTTTTACCGTTTTCTAATCCGTTCAGCCGATCTCCGGGTCAGGCGGTAGCACTTTTAGCTTAGCATAGATCATTGAATCTGATTAGACTGTTAGCATCTCGCTCAAAAATGACCAAAGAGTTTCAATATTTTTCCTATTTAAAATGGGACTCTTCTGTAGTTACATCGTGTACTAAGACCGACGGAAAATGAAAAGTTGCGATTTTGGGTGCAGCAGTCGCAATGATATTACGCAGCGCCTGAAAAAAGTCCCAGCTGGGTAACTTCCAATAAGCCTATTTTCAGGCTCTGCGTAATATCATGCGCCTGCTGCACCCATGGTACGGCAGCAAAGTTCCTTGATTATTACGCCGGAATGAGAGTATAGTTCCTAGCCATATCGGCCTAGAAAATTGCAGCTTTTAATTTTCCGTCGGTCTTAGTACACGATGTAACTACAGAAGAGTCCAGTTTTAAATAGGAAAAATATCAAAACTCCTTGGTCATTTTTGAGCGAGATGCTAACGGTCTAATCAGATTCAATGATCTATGCTAAGCTAAGCTAAAAGTGCTACCGCCTGACCCGGAGATCAGCTGAATGGATTCGAAAACGGTAAAACTCAACTGTTTAACTCTAGGGGAGTTGGAAAATGAGCCTATTTTCAAAAATAGTGGAGTGTTCCTTTAATGCTACACAATCCTAAACAACCGGATCATCCTCGCTATCACAAACAACGGTTTGGCTCACCTATAAAATCTGAAGAGATCTGAACACAGGGACTTCATCAAGAGACCAGACACACATTCGTTCCCTCTCGAAGAATGCGTGTGCGCGTTGATAATTACATTCTCAATCTTATGGTGTGTGCGTCCGGCCAAAAAACATCACTGTTGAAACAATATCATCACAGACTCTGCCAGCTGGCACACGCTCTCTTTGTCTGTTTCGCTCTCTCACACACACTGGAGGGGCTGAAGGTACTCAGTAAAATATGTGGAATACCTCATATGTGTTACTACTGTTATTAATATTCTGGCCATCCCGTTATACATCCATAAACCATAGAAAATACTTCTCAGCACCTTTTAGCCTTCAGCAAGTCTTGAGTTCCTCCTTCAGTAAGTCTATGTGACTTTTTTTTAATAAAGGAGTTAGGCTTTTGTTCAAATATCTAAAGTAATAGTAATACTTTCCTTAGCAAATACCACTAAAAAGCAGAGGTGGACAAAGTACGCAACTCCATTACTTGAGTGAAAGTACAGATACTGCTGGTCAAATATTACTCCATTACAAGTAAAAGTTGTAAAGACAGATTTTTACTTAAGTAAAAGTACTTGCTTTTAAAAGTACTTAAGTACCAAAAGTAAATTTCCTTTTTTATGTCAATGCACTGTTTTATTGTTGTATGTAATACTTGCAATACTTCTTAAGCAACTTAGAATACATTACACCAACTGAATACACCGACTAGCTTGTAGTATCTTTCGAATAAAGAGCTTTTAGAATGTTAAAAACATATGGGGGAAAAAACAAATCAAAAATATATAAATAAATAAATATTTAACACCCCTACCCACCCCCACAAAAGCAGTA